TTGCAACATCTCAACCAACAATTGGTCCAGTTATCAACGCTATTTTCAAGTTTCGAAAACAACTCGGCTTTCAAGATCCACGTATCTACTATCTACATGTTTCCATTTACCAACGTTATATTTTAAGATCTGTGCAAGAACTCAGCTAACATATGTTTCCGCATATAAAAGCTATCTTCAAGATAAGAGTGCGAAGAGTATTTAGTAGCATCGTGTCTCGAACCCGTGACACTCGGATTCCTTGTCTCACACGCTAACCACTAGGCCACGCTCGCACTGTGCCGGTGACGTAATGTTATTAAAGAAGTTATTCATTCTACAGTTGAATCCAACATTTAAGACATTTACGTTATGTTTAAAAAAACAGCGTATTTAACGAATTTCATATAATAAACGCTTACCGTATTCCTCCTATTAAGCACCCTGGCGTTTGAATAATTCCAAAGGAGGGCATTAATAAGGAAACAATTCTTACCTTTTAGTTTACACGCTTTATTAAATGACGTCACAACAAGTGCAGGTTTACGTATTGTATCAGGAGAGGTAGAGGGTAGATTTGTAATATCGAGGCAAAAATTCACCAGCCATAACCCTAAATCTAGACTCCATAATAATATTTATTCGGTAATAAAATGTAGAAAATACAGCATCAAACATTTTCACACAATTAATATTCGCTCACTTAAGAAAACAAACAAACAAAGAAATAAAAACTATTTGATCGGTGATATCTCTGTAAGGAATAGATCTTACACAAAATTCTCTAAGTCTTAAAAGTAACTGCACTGTAATTTTACTTCCAAACAAAATTCACTTCCCCAGGGGAACCAGGATAATTGTAATCACAAAGTCAAATGGTTTCAGTTTTGGTTCGCACCATTCATTAAAAGCTCTCCTTGAAATGTTAGAAAAGTAAGAATTTTTGTCTTCAAAATTGTGACAATGAGGGATAATAAAGAGGGCGCTTATTGACTTTTAGTTTGGAAATCATGCAAAAGAACTTATAGGGCAGTGGTTTCCAAACTTTTTTCACCGGCGACACCCTTGAATTGCGTGACATCCCTGCTGCCGGACTGGAATATTTTTTCTAGTTTTTTTATGTTCTTAACTATTCTTCATTTGGTGAAACTATCACAACACGCTAGTGTGTTACGTCACAGTTTGAAAACCAGTGTTATAGGACGCTTGAAGGAAGAAATACGGTATGCTAAACCTAATATTATATGGATAAAATTAATGATAAATATATTAAACTAAACAACTTCAAACTGCTGTTATTCTTTTCTTTCTTTAAGACTTTAAAATGTGATCCC